ACGTCCTCTTCTTCCCGAGTACCCCCTTATGTCCTTCGCTTCCGGAATGCCCCCTTACATCCTCTTCTTCCCGAGTACCCCCTTATGTCCTTCCCTTCCCGAATGCCCCCTTACGTCCTCTTCTTCCAGAGTACCCCCTTATGGCCCCTGCTTCCCGAATGCCCCCTTACGTCCTCTTCTTCCAGAGTACCCCCTTATGTCCTCCTCTTCCCGAATGCCCCCTTACGTCCTTTTCTTCCAGAGTACAGCCTTATGTCCTCCTATTCCCGAATGCTCCCTTACGTCCTCTTCTTTCAGAGTACCCCCTTATGTCCTCCTCTTCCCGAATGCCCCCTTATGTCCTCTTCTTCCCGAATGCCCCCTAACATCCTCTTCTTCCAGAGTACCCCCTTATGTCCTCCTCTTCCCGAATGCCCCCTTACGTCCTCTTCTTCCCGAGTACCCCCTTATGTCCCCGAATGCTCCCTTACGTCCTCTTCTTTCAGAGTACCCCCTTATGTCCTCCTCTTCCCGAATGCCCCCTTATGTCCTCTTCTTCCCGAATGCCCCCTAACATCCTCTTCTTCCAGAGTACCCCCTTATGTCCTCCTCTTCCCGAATGCCCCCTTACGTCCTCTTCTTCCCGAGTACCCCCTTATGTCCTTCGCTTCCGGAATGCCCCCTTACGTCCTCTTCTTCCCGAGTACCCCTTTATGTCCTTCCCTTCCCGAATGCCCCCTTACGTCCTCTTCTTCCAGAGTACCCCCTTATGTCCTTCGCTTCCTGAATGCCCCCTTACATCCTCTTCTTCCAGAGTACCCCCTTATGTCCTCCTCTTCCCAAATGCCCCCTTACTTCTTCCTCTTCCCGAATGCCCCTTATGTCCTTCGCTTCCTGAATGCCCCCTTACATCCTCTTCTTCCAGAGTACCCCCTTATGGCCTCCTCTTCCCGAATGCCCCCTTACATCCTCTTCTTCCAGAGTACCCCCTTATGGCCTCCGCTTCCTGAATGCCCCCTTACTTCTTCCTCTGCCCCTATTTACAAACCATCTGATTTTACGGACGGTTGGCAACACTAGATGTAGCAAGGTTTGCAGTAGTTACCAACGTTTTCCCTGTTTGGAGGCTTTGCACCTCACCTGTGACACAAGGGGGGTTAAATTAATTACCTGCATTTGGGGACCATTTTTGGGGATGACCATGAACAATGCTTGGTTATGGAGTGTCTTCAACTCTGGGGATAGCCATCTTGGGTGAGCCGATATGTATCCTGAATGGACTGTGATAGGCTGAAGGAGGGCACAAAGGAAGAGGATATGGACTGCTGTGCATCCTGGCACTAGAGTCTGCTGGGAAGAACTGAGGCTTGTGGGGAATGTAGTCCCCAGACAGACTGAGCCTGTGTGCCAGATTGGCAATAGAACTACACTTCACCCAGTTTGAGCGGGGTTCTGTGGAGATGAAAGGGATGGTCTGTTCCTAAGCTGAGGCACAGGTGGTAAGGACATTGTGGGAGACACACTATGCTGCAGACTGTTAGTAGGACATTTTTCCACCACATCAGGGACACAGAGAGGTAAAGTAGTAGGTATCTCCTGGTACATGAGAACACTCTTAATGACTGGTGCCACCGCCTGATTGTTGGGAAGAACACTAATGTCACTGACTGGTCCTGCCACCTGATCGTTGAGGAGAGTGCCACTATCACTGACTTCATGGAGCCATAGAAGAAGACGTAAGGTGACCAACTATCGCCCCAGGAGTTGGTGAGAGGCCACCAGCTAAAACCCACTACACTCTACTAAGAAGGAATAGTTTTGTTTGCTTGAGACACAGTGCAAGTGCCTACACCAAGGTTTGGAAGAACTTTACCTGAATACTCCAACGTCTGATTTGGGCCCCAACATATTGACCAGTAGGGATTGGGTTTGATAAAGACTGTCAAACTGTTATCTTTCCATTGCCCATAGACAGGATCTTCCTAAATAAAGTGCTCAGGGATCATTCTCCGGTCTATTTACTTATTGCCAACTGTAAACTCTCATTTGCTACTGTTTAACTTATTCATTTGAGGAGTCATTAACATTTCTATGTCTTTGGTTGTTGTATTATTGTACATATTGTTGCAATAACTATCCCCTCCTTAGCCCGAGTGTGTCGGAGAGCATAGCGCTGTTTACAGAGTCGTGGGACCAGAGAAAACAGCGGCTCCGTTGGGGGTAAGCTCTACAAAGAGTTGGCCACTGAAAAGCCCATATACAGTTGTGTTGAAAATAATATCAGTCAGACATCACTAACCGGATCAATCGCTGTTTTTGGTGGAAATGATATTTCTACATGGCAAATAATTTCCTAGCAGGTGAAGTAGAGTCATAGAAATCCAACAGACCCAACAGTCATGACATGCATGCTGCTGATTCTGTGTCATCCAATAGAAAACTTGTGGGGTGACATCAAAAATGCCGTTTCTGAGGCAAAACCAAGAAATAGAGAAGAACTGTGGAATGTCGTTTCCAGGAAGGGGGGAAAGTGTCCAGACTGGAAGGGGGGGGAAAGTGTCTGGACTGGAAGGGGGGGGAAAGTGTCCGGACTGGAAGGGGGGGAAAGTGTCTGGACTGAAAGGGGGGGAAAGTGTCCGGACTGGAAGGGGGGGAAAGTGTCCGGACTGGAAGGGGGGGAAAGTGTCCGGACTGGAAGGAGGGGGAAAGTGTCCGGACTGGAAGGGGGGAAAGTGTCCGGACTGGAAGGGGGGGAAAAGTGTCCGGACTGGAAGGGGGGGGAAAGGGTCCGGACTGGAAGGGGGGGGAAAGTGTCTGGACTGGAAGGGGGGGGGGGAGTGTCCGGACTGGAAGGGGGGAAAGTGTCCGGACTGGAAGGGGGGGGTGAAAGTGTCCGGACTGGAAGGAGGGAAAGTGTCCGGATTGGAAGGGGGGGAAAGTGTCCGGACTGGAAGGGGGGGAAAGTGTCCGGACTGGAAGGGGGTGAAAGTGTCGGGACTGGAAGGGGGGGAAAGTGTCCGGACTGGAAGGGGGGGAAAGTGTCAGGACTGAAAGGGGGGGAAAGTGTCCGGACTGGAAGGGGGGAAAAGTGTCCGGACTGGAAGGGGGGAAAGTGTCCAAACAGGAAGGGGGGGAAAGTGTCAGGACTGGAAGGGGGGGAAAGTGTCCGGACTGGAGGGGGGAGAAAGTGTCCAGACTGGAAGGGGGGAAAGTGTCCAAACAGGAAGGGGGGGAAAGTGTCAGGACTGGAAGGGGGGGAAGTAGAAAGTGTCCGGACTGGAAGGGGGGAAAGTGTCCGGACTGGAAGGGGGGGGGGGAAGTGTCCGGACTGGAAGAGGGAGAAAGTAGAAAGTGTCCGGACAGGAAGGAGGGAAAGTGTCCGGACTGGAAGAGGGGGGGGGGGAAAGTGTCCGGGACTGGAAGGGGGGGAGAAAGTGTCCGGACTGGAAGGGGGGGAAAGTATCCAAACTGGAAGGGGGGGAAAGTGTCAGGACTGGAAGGGGGAGAAAGTAGAAAGTGTCCGGACTGGAAGAGGGAGAAAGTAGAAAGTGTCCGGACTGGAAGGGGGCAAAGTGTCAGGACTGGAAGGGGGTGTGAAAGTGTCCGGACTGGAAGGGGGGGAAAGTATCCGGACTGGAAGGGGGGGAAAGTATCCGGACTGGAAGGGGGGGAAAGTATCCGGACTGGAAGGGGGGGAAAGTGGTTAAGGAGGTTGTGTTACTTACAGATAATTGGCCTGAACAGGTGTCAGCTTCCTGGTGGACGTGTGCCCATTTGGATCCTAGTCCGACTCTATGCAAGCTCATCACTAGAGAACACATGCTCCTCTGGTTGCTCCTTTACAGCCACATGGACTCCTGGGGAGGAACCACTGCAAACACCCAACTAATAAGGGCTGTGCAGATCTGCCCAATCAGGTCGCTGGCTACTGCCAAAGCATAGACCCAGGATAGAAGACATAATTCAGACCCAGTCTCTACAGAGCCTCCGGGCTCCGGGATCCAATCCAGAACTTACTAACCCAGAGGATACTGATTAACCAGTTTCCTTTGTACCAAAAAAGCATCCTGGAGCCCCTCAACCTGTGCGGATGAGAATCCTGAAGCCTCACCTTGACAAGGGGAACGATACCAAACTATGATATGATGTCCATAGGATTCAGAGCTCCAAAATGTATATAAAAAATACAAAGAAATACATTTTGAAGGTTGTTTTTTTGTCTATAATTTTTGGAAATGAAGAAGAGAGCTCTGAATTCAATAGTTCCAACACTTTGTATCCTGATCTATGATTTGCCTTGTTGATGTGACACTCCGATGGTGGACATGGTGGGAGGTGTGTGGGCGCTGCAGACACTCAGCGATAATTATATGGTTAATATATTCAAACCTCTGAACTGAAGCTTCTGGTTGGATGAATAATTGATGAATATGTGTACGAGTATTTTGAGGGTGGGGCTCTGCTTTAAGAATTCTAAGAATACAATTTTTTGTATTTTTTTTTGACAACTATGAAACTTTGTAACTAAATGACACCCATTCTAGCCAGGATAATTGTACTTACTGAGAGAACATCAGATCTTCCCTATAAACCAGACTTTATCAACTTTTATACCTGAGTGGAATCCATCAAATTATTGTCAAGTCTCAGGGAATCCCTACTAAAAATAACTGATGGAGGGACAATGGGTCCCTTTTGTTGGAGATCAGTGAGAAGAATGTTCCTCACATTTGTGGTCAGTGGGAAGAATGTTCCTCACATTTGTGGTCAGTGGGAAGAATGTCCCTTACATTGGTGATCAGTGGGAAGAATGTCCCTTACATTGGGGGGTCAGTGGGAAGAATGTCCCTTACATTGGGGGTCAGTGGGAAGAATGTCCCTTACATTGGTGATCAGTGGGAAGAATGTCCCTTACATTGGTGGTCAGTGAGAAGAATGTCCCTTACATTGGGGGGTCAGTGGGAAGAATGTCCCTTACATTGGGGGTCAGTGGGAAGAATGCCCCTTACATTGGGGGTCAGTGGGAAGAATGTCCCTTACATTGGGGGTCAGTGGGAAGAATGTCCCTTACATTGGGGGGTCAGTGGGAAGAATGTCCCTTACATTGGTGGTCAGTGGGAAGAATGTCCCTTACATTGGGGGTCAGTGGGAAGAATGTCCCTTACATTGGGGGTCAGTGGGAAGAATGTCCCTTACATTGGTGGTCAGTGAGAAGAATGTCCCTTACATTGGTGATCAGTGGGAAGAATATCCCTTACATTGGGGGTCAGTGGGAAGAATGTCCCTTACATTGGGGGTCAGTGGGAAGAATGTCCCTTACATTGGTGATCAGTGGGAAGAATGTCCCTTACATTGGGGGTCAGTGGGAAGAATGTCCCTTACATTGGTGGTCAGTGAGAAGAATGTCCCTTACATTGGTGATCAGTGGGAAGAATATCCCTTACATTGGGGGTCAGTGGGAAGAATGTCCCTTACATTGGGGGTCAGTGGGAAGAATGTCCCTTACATTGGTGATCAGTGAGAAGAATGTTCCTCACATTTGTGGTCAGTGGGAAGAATGTCCCTTACATTGGTGATCAGTGAGAAGAATGTCCCTCACATTTGTGGTCAGTGGGAAGAATGTCCCTTACATTGGGGGTCAGTGGGAAGAATGTTCCTTACATTGGTGGTCAGTGGGAAGAATGTCCCTTACATTGGTTGTCAGTGGGAAGAATGTCCCTTACATTGGTGGTCAGTGGGAAGAATGTCCCTTACATTGGTGATCAGTGGGAAAGAATGTCCCTTACATTGGTGATCAGTGGGAAGAATGTCCCTTACATTGGTGGTCAGTGGGAAGAATGTCCCTTACATTGGGGGTCAGTGGGAAGAATGTCCCTTACATAGGTGGTCAGTGGGAAGAATGTCCCTTACATTGGGGATCAGTGGGAAGAATGTCCCTTACATTGGGGGTCAGTGGGAAGAATGTCCCTTACATTGGTTGTCAGTGGGAAGAATGTCCCTTACATTGGTGATCAGTGGGAAGAATGTCCCTTACATTGGGGGTCAGTGGGAAGAATGTCCCTTACATTGGTGATCAGTGGGAAGAATGTCCCTTACATTGGGGGATCAGTGGGAAGAATGTCCCTTACATTGGGGGTCAGTGGGGAAGAATGTCCCTTACATTGGTGATCAGTGGGAAGAATGTCCCTTACATTGGGGATCAGTGGGGAAGAATGTCCCTTACATTGGGGGGTCAGTGGGAAGAATGTCCCCTTACATTGGTGGTCAGTGAGAAGAATGTCCCTTACATTGGGGGTCAGTGGGAAGAATGTCCCTTACATTGGGGGGTCAGTGGGAAGAATGTCCCTTACATTGGTGGTCAGTGGGAAGAATGTCCCTTACATTGGGGGTCAGTGGGAAGAATGTCCCTTACATTGGGGGTCAGTGGGAAGAATGTCCCTTACATTGGTGATCAGTGGGAAGAATGTCCCTTACATTGGGGGGTCAGTGGGAAGAATGTCCCTTACATTGGGGATCCGTGGGAAGAATGTCCCTTACATTGGTGGTCAGTGGGAAGAATGTCCCTTACATTGGTGGTCAGTGGGAAGAATGTCCCTTACATTGGGGGTCAGTGGGAAGAATGTCCCTTACATTGGGGGTCAGTGGGAAGAATGTCCCTTACATTGGTGGTCAGTGGGTAAGAATGATCCTTACATTGGTGGTCAGTGGGAAGAATGTCCCTTACATTGGTGATCAGTGGGAAGAATGACCCTTACATTGGTGGTCAGTGGGAAGAATGCCCCTTATATTGGTGGTCAGTGGGAAGAATGTCCCTTACATTGGGGATCAGTGGGAAGAATGTCCCTTACATTGGTGGTCAGTGGGAAGAATGTCCCTTACATTGGGGATCAGTGGGAAGAATGTCCCTTACATTGGTGATCAGTGGGAAAGAATGTCCCTTACATTGGTGGTGGTCAGTGGGAAGAATGTCCCCTTACATTGGTGATCAGTGGGAAGAATGTCCCTTACATTGGTGGTCAGTGGGAAGAATGTCCCCCTTACATTGGTGATCAGTGGGAAGAATGCCCCTTACATTGGGGGTCAGTGGGAAGAATATCCCTTACATTGGGGGTCAGTGGGAAGAATGTCCCTTACATTGGTGGTCAGTGGGAAGAATGTTCCTTACATTGGTGGTCAGTGGGAAGAATGTCCCTTACATTGGTGATCAGTGGGAAGAATGTCCCTTACATTGGGGGTCAGTGGGAAGAATGCCCCTTACATTGGTGGTCAGTGGGAAGAATGTCCCTTACATTGGTGATCAGTGGGGAAGAATGTCCCTTACATTGGGTGATCAGTGGGAAGAATGTCCCTTACATTGGTGGTCAGTGGGAAGAATGTCCCTTACATTGGTGATCAGTGGGAAGAATGTCCCTTACATTGGGGGGTCAGTGGGAAACAATGCTGCTTACAGACATACAAAGACCATCGGCTTCATGCCTTTGGCTCTTAGGGAAGAATGTCCCAGAATTACATGGGGATCATGAAATGGGAAGAATGTCCCTTACATTGCTTATCAGTGGGAAGAATGTCCCTTACATTGGTGATCAGTGGGAAGAATGTCCTTACATTGGGGGATTGTCAGTGGGAAGAATGTCCCTCATTGGGAATCAGTGAGTATGTTGTCATTGGGGTCAGTGGGAAGAATGTCCCTTACATTGAGGGGTCAGTGGGAACAACCTGCTTGCAGTAGCTTCAAGACAGCTACAAAGACCATCGGCTTCATGCCTTTGGCTCTTCCAAATGGTTTTTGGCCCCAGATTTTATGAAGATCATGAAAGGGGAGGTCGGTCTCTCACAGCTCATCAACCTGTGAGGAATATCTTATCTAAACACGATTTCTTCCTTCCAGCGACAATCGCAGAGATCTCATTGCGGCGATAATTACCTCGGATTCATTAGGACGGTGTTGTGCCATTTTTGTCACTTAATGTCAGTATTATTTATTCCAATAAAGGGAATTATCAGAGAGCCCCAACAATATCTGACAAGCGGGAAAGACGAGAACAGATCACAAATGTTCTCAGGTTCTACTAATTACCGGATATTCACCAGCAATTAAATCCAAACGTATCAGATAATTATCTCGGTGTGTTTATATACAGAGATGTCACCCGCCGTCTTCATGTCTCCCTTTAATTATACAATGTATCTAATTGTAGGTAGAATGAGAGATATAAATGGTAAGAGAAGGGGGGTGACAACGTCCTATATATGGGAGGGAAGGGGTCAGGGGTCCAAGACAAGGAGAGTGAGATGAGTCCATCCTCAGCTTCTTCTTATACCCACGTGGAAGAAAATATATTTCAAATGCTACATTTTGGCCATATTCAATATATTTCAAAATATATATATATATATATATATATATATACACACTGTATGTTGAAATGCCTTTTTATTACAAAATATATGAAAAATATAAAAAAAAATACATTTCAAATATACTGTATGTATTTAAAAATACAAATCTACATTTTGGAACGCGTTTACAAATATATGTAACAACTTTTTTATACGTTTAAAAAAATCTGAAGGATCTAGCGGTCGGTTTCCAACAGCAACCGAAACCTGCGTTACAGAGATCCATGGCCTTGTCGCAGGGCAGGAAGGGGTTAACATGCACTAGAGCTCGGGGGCCCCATTTGGTTACTGGGAGCGAGGTAACAGAGGTACGCTGGACGGGTGGAGGGGGGGCGCAGTCAAATATAATGCATGTCTTTAAAAATACAAATCTGCATTTTGGGAATGCATTTACAAATATATGTAAAAATATATGTTAAAAAAAATCTGAAGAATACATTTAAAAAATATTTTTTTAAAATATATTCTTCAGTTTATAGACTGTACATTGAAACATTGTAGAAGGAGGAGGAAGTATTTCCTCAGGCTCCCCTCCCCCAGTGATTAGACTGTACATTGTAACTTTGTAGAAGGAGGAGGAGGCATTTCCTCAGTCTCCCCTCCCCCAGTGATCAGACTGTACATTGTAAGGTTGTAGAAGGAGGAGGTGGGGCATTTCCTCAGTCTCCCCTCCCCCAGTGATTAGGCAGCAGCAGGGGCTGATCTGTGTCAGACATTTGTGAACACAGCACGGGCACCAGGATCTACATGGTTGAGTCTCCTCTTAATGAAATATTAGATATAATTGAACACAGACTCGGCGGACGGTGTCAGACACGCTGAACATTCAGACAGTCAGCGGCAGAGCGTTTCCTCCCCGCCCTCCTATCGGAATATTCTGCCGGAACTCTCCTCCCAATACTCCTATTCTGCCGGAACTCTCCTCCCCGCCCTCCTATCGGAATTTTTCTGCTGGTACTTCTCTCCCCGCCCTCCAAACGGAATATTCTGCCGGAACTCTCCTCCCCTCCCTCCTATCAAAATATTCTGCCGGAACTCTCCTCCCCGCCCTCCCTCTCGGAATATTCTGCCGGAACTCTCCTCCCCCCTCCTATCGGAATATTCTGCCGGAACTCTCCTCCCCGCCCTCCTATCGGAATATTCTGCAGGAACTCTCCTCCCCGCCCCTCCTATCGAATATTCTGCCGGAACTCTCCTCCCCGCCCTCCTCTCGGAATATTCTGCCGGAACTCTCCTCCCCGCCCTCCTATCGAAATATTCTGCCGGAACTCTCCTCCCCTCCCTCCTCTCGGAATATTCAAGCCGGAACTCTCCTCCCAATACTCCCCTGGAAACTCTCCTCCCCGCCCTCCTCTCGGAATATTCTGCCGGAACTCTCCTCCCGCGCCCTCCTCTCGGAATATTCTGCCGGAACTCTCCTCCCCGTCCTCCTATCTGAATATTCTGCGGAACTCTCCTCCCCGCCCTCCTATCGGAATATTCTGCTGGAACTCTCCTCCCAATACTCCTATTCTGCAGGAACTCTCCTCCCCGCCCTCCTATTATTCAGCCGGAACTCTCCTATACTCTGCTGGAACTCTCCTCCCCGCCCTCCTATCGGAATATTCTGCCGGAACTCTCCTCCCCCGCCCTCTATCGGAATATTCTGCTGGAACTCTCCTCCCCGCCCTCCTCTCGGAATATTCTGCCGGAACTCTCCTCCCTGCCCTCCTATTGGAATATTCTGCCGGAAACTCCTCCCTCCCAATCCTATTCTGCTGGAACTCTCGGAATATTCTCCCCGCCCTCCTATCGGAATATTCTGCCGGAACTCTCCTCCCCGCCCTCCTATCGGAATATTCTGCCGGAACTCTCCTCTCCTCCCCTGCCCTCCTATTGGAATATTCTGCCGGAACTCTCCTCCCCTCCCTCCTATCGGAATATTCTGCCGGAACTCTCCTCCCCGCCCTCCTATCGGAATATTCTGCCGGAACTCTCCTCCCCGCCCTCGGCTCCTGGAAGGTTCTGACTTATTCCCGGCCTTCTCCTGCGGCGCTCCTCGCTATCGGCGGCGGTGTCTGGTGGCTCTCCTCGGTCTCCCGCCCTACGATCGGGAATCAGGCTCGTTGTCTGCCTGAAATAATTGACCCCCCATAACCCAACACAAATATTATTCCTGGAACTCTGGAGGCCCCTGGCTCCTAATCGATAAATAATCTGCCGGAACTTACTCCCGCCGCCCTTCTATCTCGCAATATTCTTGGAGCTCTCCAGATCCGTCCTATTGGCGAACGACAGCGAGGCGCATCTCTGAGCAAAGGCACCGAAAATCACCCTGCCGGAACTTTTACGGGGCCCCTCCACTGCGTCCTCAGTGCGGGGAATGGGAGCGGAACGCTCACTGCGCGGCCACTCCGACTCTTCGCTGCCTCGGGGCTCTTCCCATATGTTGTCTCGATATTCTGCAGGTGAGGACGCCGAACTAAATCGAAATGAAAGTCGAATATTCAATCTCCAGCGCTCCTATTGGACACGCCGCCGATGTCACAAGGCCCCGATTATTCTTCCTCGCAATTCTGCAGACTCTCACCAAATGCGTTTAGCTGAGATCGCCGCGGTCGGCTCCATCTTTATTTATGTCTCATGGTGGGAAAATGAAAGCCGTAAGACGGGCAGGCGGGAACCAATCCATTTCCTGTTTCATTAAAAGGTTTGTCGAGTCAAATCTTTTTTTTTTTTCTAGTTTTGGATGGTGTGGGAAAAGGTTAGAACTCTCCTCCTGGGGGGATTTTGCTGAAGATTTATTCTGCCCTCACTTCCTGTCCTCATGACAACTTTTACCCGATAGGATATTCTGCCGGAACTTTCCCCTAATTTACTGTCTAGCCTGAACCATTGTCAGCAGGAAGGAAGTCCTCGCAAATCCTCTCCAACCGATCGATACTGACTGGCCAGGACAGTCCCGCTTTATCAGTTAATATCTGCCGGAATCTTCACTCCCCAGGCTGCGTCTTGAGCTATGTCTCCGGGGCTGTGTCCCAGATTGTGTCTTGGATTGTGTCCCGGGCTGTGTGTGTCCCAGATTGTGTCCCGGATTGTGTCCTCGGGATTGTGTCACGGATTGTGTCCCAGATTGATTGTCCCGGGGCTGTGTCTCGGATTGTGTCCCCTCGCGATATTGTGTCCCGGGCAGTGTCTCAGATTGTGTCCCGGGCCGGTCCCTGGCAGCTGACCCAGATGGTGTCCCGGGCCTGTCCCAGATTGTCGCATCCCGGGCTGTGTCCCGAAAAGATTGTGTCCCGGATTGTGTCTCCCAGGCTGTGTGACCCGGATTGTGTCCCGGGCTGTGACCCAGATTGTGTCCGGGCTGCTTGACCCGATTGTGTCCCTGGCTGTGTCCCGGATTGTGTACCGGATTGTGTCCCAGCTTGTGTCCTTGTCTGTGACCCGGATTGTGTCCTGGATATGTGTCCGGGCTGTGTCACGGATTGTGTCCTGGGCTGTGTCATGGAATTTGTCCCGGGCTGTGTCCCGGATTGTGTCCTGGATTGTGTCCCGGGCTGTGTGTCACGGATTGTGTCCTGGGCTGTGTCATGGATTTTGTCCCGGGCTGTGTCCCGGATTGTGTCCTGGATTGTGTGTCCCGGGCTGTGTCCCGGATTGTGTACCAGGCATTGTCCGGATTTGTGTCCCAGGCTGTGAGTCAGATCTTTGTTTCGATTTTTGTCCCGAGTTTTCTCGGATTGTGTGGGAAAAGGTTAGAATCTCCCCATGATGTAAACGGGGGATTGTGTCCCAGATTGTGTCCGTGGGACTTGTCCCAGCTCCATGTCAACGTGTCCCGATAGGATTGTCTACTGGGCTTCCGGGCAATGTGTCCCTAA